TCAGAACGCGACAAGGAGCGCTAAAGCTAGCAACGACATCAGAACGCGACAAGGAGCGTTAGCGCTAGCGACGACAGCAGTGAGAGCCGCCGTTTGCTACGTACCTGCGTGAGATGTGACCACAACTATGGCGGCGGAGAGTAGGTAAAGCAGCGTGCGGTACATCGCAGTTGTCGTCTCGTCTGCGTCGCTTTCCGGCTCCTCTGCCGCCTGCCGTCGACTATGATCCCTCCGGCAGCACTCTTATTACAACACCTGCCGACAGCTCTCACGTCGATCTATGCGTCGCCACGCGCCGTGAATGGTCGCCGCACGCGGCGCATGATCGACTCATGCGCAAGCCCGATAGATGTGGGAAAGCTCTGCGGCTAGACAGGTGGGGCATGAGATCTGAAGGTCTTCGCTATCAGATTTGTTTATTGTACGTGTGTTGCTAAAGGAGCCGCCGTGTCGACGAAGCTGGCGTGCTGCCGCGGCGAATCGGTGTCGTTATTGATGATGATGATGATGATGATGATGATGCTGTTGTCATCGAGGCTGGCTTTGTTGCTGCTATTGCTGGTGTCATCGTAGTCGGTTTCATCATTATAACAATACTATCATTAAATTATATGATGATTATTTTATTAATATTTACACTTTTACATTTATAATATTACCATTATTTGTAGTGATTTCTGTAGTTGTTGTTGTCGTTGTCGTTGTAGTTGTAGTAGTAGTTGTAGTAGTAGTAGTAGTAGTAGTAGTAGTAGTAGTAGTAGTAGTAGTAGTAGCAGTAGTTGTTATTGTTGCTGTTGTTGTTGTTGTTGTTGTTGACAGCATTTCATCATCGTGCCATCGGTCGCCGGTGCTGCAGCAGAGACCATCATCACGCGCCTGTTACGTACAAATGCGACGCCACCAGCACGACGCTGCACACGATGGCGCCACTTCTAAACCACGTGACGCGTCTGCTGTCATTGCACAGCTGCCAGTCACAGTAACGCACTATCGTCATCGTTCCCGTCGCCGTCTCTCCGAACCGCTCCTCACCGTCGCTGCCGACCTGCTTGCGAGCGCACGACCGCGTCACCTCCACCAAGTCATCTGCGAGAGAGAGAATACGTCATCAATAACTAATCAAACAGATCTTATCAGTAGTTAGCGTGCATGCCTGCCGATATAGTGAGTTGGCCTTTGTTGTCACACAAGTCACTGAGTCAGGCATAAGCTTTATGCGTGACTGACGCGTGATTCACGTAAGCTTAATGCGCAACAGATGCGTGATTCACGTAAGCTACACGCGTGACTGACGCGTGATTCGTGAACACTGCATGTTTAGATGCTAGTATAGATTTTAGTAGCTAATGCATACACAAACACAACGTGAGTTGCAATATTATGTTGTCTCATTAACTCCTGATATATATATATATATATCGCATACACACATCTACGCAGAGCCTATACGCAGTGTGCATGCTATTATGCTTGTCACCGTCTAGTATATATTTATCCTTCCTGCATGCCGACAGTTTTTGGGGATGAACGCGCCCTGGTCGAACAGCACGAACCTGTCATCGCAGCCTTGGTCTGATCCCTACCACCCCACCTTCCACTCGTACGTGTAGCACTGCAGTAACGTGTCCCCTGCAAAGTAACCAAGTGTTTGTAAGCTCTGCCAGTCTAACAAAAATGCTGTCAGTTACAGCATCCCATAATATATGCTAGTAGGCCTAACAGTCTAGCCATATGATTGAGGCGGCATTCGCACGGCTGGCTATACTAGTGGAGTTGGTACTGTAACTATACATGCCTGTGACAGCATTCCCGTGGATATACTGCTATAGCTAAGCGTGGTGTCCAGCTCTAGCAGTATCCTTGCGGTTTGGTCACAAACTACACCTGTCACGTGATGGCGGTGACGTAGCCATCACGGTTCACCGTATTACAAACGCTACTATCATACATACCCCGTACAGACTACGAATTTGATATGGTATTAAACTAGCGCGCGCCAGGCCCGCGCCAAATTTTTGCAGTGTGTACACGCTATGCCGCTCCGCAAATGCAGGCGGGCCAGGCCCGGGATAACTAAAGCACGCAGCACACTTCACCATTTTCGTTGCTCGTACAGGCAATTTTCGTGGTCGGCAATTTTTGTGGCCTTTGCCGCGTCACAGCACACGGTTGACGGCAATTTTTGTTGCCAGATGTTGTAGCTAACCCATTCATATACAGTTATCAAATAAAGGAAATATATAAATTTTATCAACATTTCTGTTACTAAAGCACGCAGCACACTTCACCATTTTCGTTGCTCGTACAGGCAATTTTTGTGAAAATTTTACCATGAGCCTTGAGTACTCTGTTGCTGTATTCGGGAGCTTTGATGTCAAAACCACAAGGCCTCTCACTCCATAAATCTATTAATTCTGCTTCTAATTCGGTGGTCCAAGTCGATAAGTTATCCCGCACCAAGCTGTGTCTGTACGCAACAAGCCTGCAGACAACGCCCTTCAAGTATCCCGTAGGTCGTTGCCGATTCGCGGGCTCATGGACGCTGGGGCGTGCACGCGGTGAGAACATGAACAAAATTAATGCTGATCATAGTGGAATTGCGTCGGGAGACGTGGTCTTCTGCAGCCATTACTCATGAAGACACGAGGACACGTACCGCCCTGACCGCATCCCCAAGTGACGCGTTAGCAAAACTACCGCGCTGCCGGGGGGTGGGGGTACTAGAACTGTAACTACTTGTAGAAACTCCGTTATATCGAGTGTCTACGACGCTAGGAGCATCTCCGGCTATAGTACTGGATTTCAGCCGCCTCCCGCTGCCCTGCTCTCCGGTAAAGGAACCAGGGACCAGTTGTCAGAAGCATCATAATTAGATATGACTATAATTATCATAGATCAACAATGTCACAGGTTTTGCGCGACACTTCACTGCAAATGTTATTACATTTTAAACTTGTGACGTCATAACGACTTGATGGTCTTCATGACAACGGATCCTAGCCTCCTATATATACGGGAGAGCAGTATACAATGAAAGTGGGGAGCTGAGCCAAGATTACATCAGATATACAAACGTGGAATGGCTGTCGCAATAGCTTTGACATTAGACACACGACAGCAGAACGCGACAAGGAGCGTTAACGCTAGCGACGACATCAGAACGCGACAAGGAGC